CCATTAAGCAAAAGAAAGTCAAGGGGCCTGCAAGGGAAATTCAATTCCTAGGAATAAAATGGCAAGATGGGCATCACCACATCCCAATGGAGGTGATAAACAAGATAACAGCCATGGCCCCACCAACCTCTAAAAAGGAGACTCAGTCTTTTTTGGGCGCTGTGGGGTTCTGGAGGATACACATCCCAAACTACAGCCTGATTGTGAGCCCTCTCTACCACGTAACCCGTAAGAACGATTTTGAATGGGGCCCTGAGCAACAACAATCCTTTGAACAAATTAAGCGGGAGATTGCCCGAGCAGTAGCCCTCGGGCCAGTCCAGGAAGGGCAGGAGGTTTAGAACATGCTCTACACCGCAGCCGGGGAGAATGGCCCTACCTGGAGCCTCTGGCAGAGAGCACCTGGGGAGACCCGAGGCCTACCTCTAGGCTTTTGGAGCCGGGGATACAAAGGCTCTGAAGCTAATTACACACCAACTGAGAAGGAGATACTGGCAGCGTACGAAGGAGTTTGGGCTGCCTCAGAAGTGGTCAGCACTGAAACACAGCTCCTCCCGGCACCCCAACTGCCGGTGCTGGGGTGGATGTTCAAAGGAAAGGCCTCCTCTACGCATCATGCAACAGATGCCATGTGGAGTAAATGGGTTGCGTTGATAACACAACAGGCTTGAATAGGGAACCTCAGCCACACAGGGATATTAGAGGCGATTACGAACTGGCCAGAGAGCAAAGATTACAGGATGTCACCAGAACAGGAGGTGACATGTGCTAAGGAGGCCTCACCATATAACGAGCTGCCAGACGAGGAGAAGCGATATGCCCTGTTCACTGATGGGTCTTGTCACATTGTGGGAAAACATCGACGATGGAAGGCTGCTGTGTGGAGTGCCACATGACGGGTCACTGAAGCTGCTTAGGGACAGGGTGAATCGAGCCAGTTTGCAGAGGTGAAAGCCATCCAGCTTGCTTTGGATATTGCTGAGTGGGAAAAGTGGCCGAGGCTCTACCTCTACACCGACTCGTGGGCAGTGGCGAATACCCTGTGGAAATGGTTGCAGCAATGGAAGCAGAACAACTGGCAACATAAGGGTAAAACCATCTAGGCTGCTGAAGTACGGCAGGACATTGCAGCCCATGTGGAAAACCTCGCTGTGAAGGCGCACCATGTGGATGCCCATGTACCCAAGAGTCGGGCCACTGATGAACATCAATGCAACCAGCAGGCAGACCAAGCGGCTAAGATTAGAGTGGCTCAGGTGGACTTGGACTGGCAGCGCAAAGGTGAACTGTACATAGTCTGGTGGGCCCATAAGACCTCGGGCCACCAAGGTAGAGATGCAACATACAGGTGGGCTCAAGATCGAGGGGTGGACCTCACTATTGACACCATTGCAGAGATCATCCATGGATGTGAGACGTGTGCTGCAATCAAACATGCCAAGTGGGTGAAGCCCCAGCGAAATGGAGAGCGATGGCTGAAATATAGATATGGAGAGGCCTGGCAGATTGACTACATCACACTGCCACAGACCCGCCAAAGGAAGTGCTACGTCCTCGCAATGGTGGAAGTAACCACTGGATGGCTGGAGACTTACCCAGTGCCCTATGCCACTGCCCGGAACACCATCCTGGGCCTTGAGACCCAAGTCCTGTGGCGACATGGCACCCCAGAAAGAACTGAGTCAGACAACAGGACCCACTTCTGAAACAACCTCATAAATGCTTGGGCAGAAGAGCATGGCATTGAGTGGGTCTACCATATCCCCTACCATGCACCAGCCTCTGGGAAGATCAAGCACTACAATGGACTGTTAAAAACCACATTGAAAACACTGGGAGGTGGGACCTTCAAAGACTGGGACATGCATCTAGCAAAGGCCACCTGGCTAGTCAACACAAGAGGATCTGCCAGTCGAGCTGGCCCGGCTCAGTCAAAACCTCCACGTGCTGTAGGTGGGGATAAAGTCCCTGTGGTGTGCATGAGGAATATATTGGGAAAAATGGTCTGGTTTAGTCCTGCACCAGGCAAAGGTAAAGGCAAACCCATCCATGGGATTGCTTTTGCTCAAGGACCCGAGTGTACCTGGTGGGTGATGCAAGACAATGGAGAGGTCCGATGTGTACCACAGAGGGACTTGATTCTGGGTGAGAACATGCCGTGAATTATGCTGTGCCTTTATAAATTGTTATTTTGTTATTGTTAACTGCTAAATGGCAGCTCGACATAACGTAGATGGTATAGAACAAAGGGGTGGATTATGTCCTGGTTCAGCTAGGATAGGGTTAAGTTTCCTCAGCAGAAAGGGGGAAGGGATCTCCAGCCAAGTTATTCATTCATACCATGGTCAGGTCCGGCACTGCAGCGTGGGAAGCTTTTCTTTGTGGCTTTGGTTGCAGAAAGCACACGCAGCGGGCTGGCTGTATCATTGTGGTATTTCTCTGTATATCTTTTGTCTTGTTTACGGTTATTACTGTTTATTGTTGTTATCATTGCTACTGTTGTTGTTCAGATTGCTTATTACACTGTTGTATTAAATTTCTTCTTATTTTAACCTGGGGTTTGTGCCCTACTTGTGTCCGAGGATGGGGGAGGGACAACGGCAACATGGACTCTGGTCCTGGCCGGGCCTAAACCAACACAATGCCAGATAGAGCTTGTGAGAAAAAAAAAATAATCCCGAAATCCCCAAGGAAAGATCATATTTACTTGGGAAGATAAAAGCCGAACACAAACAGGAAAAGGAATAAGCTTTTATTATAACTCTGATGAACTCTTAATACTGTATTAGTATTCTACTTCTCCTATTCTACAGGGAAACAGTATTTATAACCAGAAAACCTAGAACTTTTGTAGAAGACTACAACTTTCTCTCAGGAGCTCAACTACAGCTATGGGTCTTAGAATTTATCATGGCGATTCACATGTTCCAAGAACTAGACTAGCTTCCAGTAAACATCAAGCTGTAATTTAAGGCACCATTTTGGATTTGTGAAGATCTAATTAATATAATATGTATCTTAATGATGATAAACCAGTGAGATTCAACAGCCACTGATACTAGCAGAAGTCCTAATTTGAACAATGAAATTAGGCTCTTTTCAACCAAAGCTGTTTCCTTTCCTTGGTCCAAAGCAGTTCACTGTGGTCAAACTCCAGTGCAAGCTGTAACACAAATTTTCACAGAATATGCTAGGTTAGAGGATTCAGAAGCTGAGCTATCAAACAGCACTGAAGACTAAGTTGAAAAAAAAAAACAACTATCTTGCAAAACACCATACCTAGCTTAGAATATATGGGGAGGTTCATCTGAAGTATCTAAACATAGTGAAAAGATAAAAGGTTTATAATTAGATGAGCTGTTCTGAGGTTAAAAGTGGTTTTTCAATACCATGTTTTCTGGAGAACATGCAGGGCTCTATAGATGATTACTTGCCTTCCAGCAAACAGACAAAAATTGAAAGCAAGTATAGTGAACTGTAGACATATTAAATTCTTACCATTAGGAAAACAACAGAATGATGTAACAGTATATAATTAAAATAATTATTCCAAATAATTATTTCCCAACTTCCAATTTAAAATAATTTGGGTTTTTTTAATTTGCATTATCATGCTTCTGCATGAAAGTCTTCTGTATCACTGCTTACATGAATGTGAAGCAAATTAATGAAATCCCCAAAATAAGAAAGATATGAGATAAAAGCCATGATGTTATGTTTCTTACCACTTGTTTTGCTAATGGTCCTGCCAGACTTTGACAGTAACCTAACAAATGCTAGTTTATCAGCCTGTTCCACTACAGTGTGTTTTAAATATTACTCTCAGTTCAAAAAGTTTTTCTTTATACTTGTTGTAACTTTAGTACTGTGAACACAAATTTTTAGCTATCTGCTGCCCTATTTACAAATGGTAGGGAGAGAATGAGTGAAACCAATAGGGAGGCGTCAGCCTAGGTAAAAGTTTGGGTACTAAACTTTAAAACTGCAACATCTTTCCCTTCCTTTTGCCAACAATGTCAAAAGGTTGCAAGTGCATACATTTTCTAGGCACATCCTGAAATCATCTGAATCCCAGAGTGCCAACCACTCTGCTGCTGGGCATGCCTTGAAGTGCCCATCAGCTTTAACATCAACGCCATTTTATAGAAGGTAGGTGGCACCACCACAGCTTTGCTGAAGAAAAGCAAACACTGCTCAGTTCTTTAAAAGAAGGATTAGAGGCACTTACAGGCAAAGAGGATTGCAAGGTCTGGTGGCTGCATCAGCCAACACCCCTGATGTACTCACCAAAGGTATGAAGCAAGACGAGCAAGATGTCAGATATGTGCTAATAGCTGGCAATGGGAAAACACACTGGCCTTTGCACCAGGCCCTGGGGAGCAGCCAGCCCACAGAACAGTGCGGCATGCCTCGCTCCGGGCTCCCAGTTCGGTGGGAAAGCTGTGCTGTTTGGCCTAGCCCATGGATTACTAGGACTTAAGTGATGACCACACAGTTTCTAACGATGTATCCTCTTGATGCATCTTCATCTAACTTGATGAAGTTCTCCCAAGTTTTCAAATCCATAACTTCTTTTTTTTTTTTTGACGTGACACTCGAGTGGTTTTTCTTTGTTGCTTTCATTGGGTAGTCTTGCTAACAAAGGTATTAGCAGGCACAGAAAATTTCAAATGATACATTCAGGAATTCTGCTGTTTTTTCTCTTGGTCTATTACAAAGCCTTTACATACCCTAAAAAACATGCTACGGTGAGAGCATACTCATGTGATCAGCAGAGGGACCAAGGCAGAGGAAAGTTAAGTTAGTTACAGAAAAGTTCTCTGCAAACGCGGCACGAAGGCTGTGAAAGCTACTGCTTTGAACGGAAAGCTTTAAAACAGGTGTTAATACTGGAAAGAAGACGAGGAAGGACACCAGAGAGGTAGTGCTGAGGCCAGCCCATCAGCCCGAGGAGCGGGGCCGGTGCCCGCGGCTCCCGACCGCCGCGGCCGCACACTCACCGCAGGAAGCGCTGGAACTC